TGATATATTTCACATATATTTGTGACCATACTTGTCAAGGTGGTGGCAAACCATCAGCATGTCCAAGTGCTCATCAATGGTGTTTCTAGTGAATGGCCTGGTTGGATTGGTTGATGATGGAATTACATTTGCTTCAGAGCACACCTTGATGATATCAGGGGCATGACCACCACCTGCACCTTCAGAGTGATAGGTGTGGATAGTTCTACCCTGTAATCATGCGAGGACAACAGATTTGTTAGACAAATGTGATGGACAGGAAAGCCGATTAGTTCCAAACAGCAGATCACAGATTGGGTTCAAGTCCCTTTTCAGCATAGAAGTTAAATGTGTTTTGGTGTTCAGCGAGATGCATCACTCCTTGTATGATTCTCTCCATAACAGAGTATGATTAGTTTTGGTAAAGGAAAGGGCTATCAACCCATTAAGAGGAAAAGGACCTAGCCCGATGCTTAAAAGTCACTCCATGTTGTGACCTTTGCAGCTTCAGTGCATCAAGTTTTCATTCAACTGAGTGAGGCATAAGAAAGGCTGAAATATTTCACTTTGGGACTGGTGATTATTTACTGTTTATTTCCTGGGAGGAGGGGGGAGAAGGGTCAGAAGATTTTGGTTGTGCCACAAAATTCATCTGATCCCTCATTCCCCCAAGGCTCTGTCAGTTGTATTCCAATGATACCCCTGATTGGCAGTCAAGCAAAAACTCATCCCCCCTCTGTTCCATTTGAAAACTACATAAATGCAGCCCCACATACTGATTGGCAGTCAATTTTCTACTAAATAGTCCCCCCTTAAACTTCATAAGCAACAACTCATCCCCTCTCTGTTCCATTTGATAACTATGTAAATGCAGCCCCTTATACTGATGGTCCATGTGCAACAATATCAAATCTACATTCACCTTAAAAGCTTCCACTGACTGCTCGACACAAGCTGACTCATTCAGTGTGTCAGTATGGATGGTAATCTACAAAAAATAACAATAATCATAACTGACAGAATGTTCACCACAATCATGAACATTACTAAGTGAAATTTGAAGCATCATTATAGTATTTGATAATGATTTATCATTAATAATTATAATTAATGAATCATTAATAAATAATTGCTAATACTCACCTGCACATCATGTTTCTCAGCAGCAGTCAGTGCACAGTCAATTGCAGCAGGGGTTGTTCCCCAGTCTTCATGGAGCTTTAACCTGTTTGGAAACAAAGAAAATTAGATGAATACTGACTCTACAGCTGCAAGTGATCCAAAAAAGCCAGATTTTAATAAAATGTAAAATTCTGGCAGGAAAAAGACAACAGCTTTATCTTTCCCTTTTTTTCCACATTTAAAGTCTAATGTTTTGTTTTCCCTTTAAATTTAGTTTCCTTTATGTCACCTACATGTAAAAGGAAAAATGCACTCTTAAAGCTTATAGAAAGCTATTATTCTTTTACAGAATTTCCCTATGTCTTATTAAACCTTCACACCCTAACATCAGTATGCATATTCTCCATACTGTTCTGTATACATTTCCTAGGATACTTTTATGGAGAATTTGTTGAGAAATCAAGAGCTTGTTTGGTTGGTGATCATTAAGGAGAAATTAGATGCCTACAGTCTCCCTTAGGGGCTAAAGGAATATTTCTTACCCTATTGCACCAGCCTTAATTTGTTCTTCTAACTCTGCTGCAACTCCACTAGACTTTGAAGTGTTTCCCTTGCCTAAAAGCAGAAATGATTTTGAATTAGATTCATCAGAATGGTCAGTAACAAGTTACGGAAAATCTAGGAAAGAAGAATCAAAGAAACTAAACTTAGCTCACCTGTGAAGCCAAAGTTAAGAGGAAAACCATCTGTGCTTTGAATCATTGCCCTGAAACATTAATAAAATTATTTTTGAACAATCACACATTTATGTATGTTTATGTATTTATACTTCTTAAATTTAAGATTGTGGTGTAATTTTTAATCACATCTTCATCACCATGGAATGTAATTACATAACTCACTTGATGTGGTTTGGTCCAGGAGTACAAGTGGTTGCACAAGTACCTGTTGCAGGCCCTGTTAAAAACAAAACAAAAATGTTTGAAGTGAGAAATTTGTCAGACAATCACTTTTAAAATTAGTTTATGATTTGAGTGAAAATAGTTGTTTCCATCAGTGACCACTAAATAACTTGTTAGGTCTCTACTTGGTAGTGTTCCTTCTATATTATTTGATGACTAAGTGGTGTGATTACTGAAAAATTAATATCCAGCTGCCAGTTGAATTTCTTATCGACACGAACAGGTAGTTTAAGAATTTACACACCTTCTGGTTAATGGTATGTTCCATGCATATTTGAGTCATTCCACATGATATAGCATATTTCAAAAATTTCCTTTCCCAGACCACTCTAACTATTTTGACAAAAATTATTAGGTGATGACCATGAGACGCAGTGATAAATAAAGGTCCAACAGGTTAAGGGAAGGAAAAACTCTTCTTCAACAAGGTAATTAATTTTCATTGTAAATTATCAGAAAACTCCATACCAGTGCCTCCTCCAACCATGGTGGTAAGTCCAGATGCAATCGCTTCTTCGGCAAGTTGTGGGCAAGTGAAGTGAATGTGTGCATCAATCCCACCTGCTGTCAAGATGAGTCCTTCACCAGCTATGACTTCTGTGCCAACACCACAAACCATCCCCTAACATGAAATAACTAAATGATGAGCTTAAATTTACAGAAACATTTAAGCAAAGCTTTTATTAATAGGAATCTTAAACATCCATTCCCTATCCAAAAAATTGAGTGTCTTAAGATATGATCATAGTTTAATACTAAACCACTGGCACAGCTGCCATAGGGTCAAATTAAATAATATATAATTGAGATGTACTTAAGGGAGATGCTTACAAGTGCATCACAAATCACCTTTCAAAAATATTTTGTCATAAATTATGATGAAAAATGTATAATTTACCAACCTCTGTGACACCTGCCATCACATCTGGGTTACCACCTTTTCCAATGGCAGAAATCATACCATTCTAAACAAATAGGAACAAAACAATAGAATCAATAACAACAATGAATAAATACCTCAAGCTATAATCACAGGTTTGTAATACACAACAGTGCATCACACAAAATCAGAGACTAACTGAACTGAAAGAATCTATGTTGCATTTACATTTTCTGAGAATTATGAGCTTTCAATGCTTTTCCCAGGATGGAAGGGGGTGGACAGGCTACCCACTTGAAATTGACTCATAGGACCCTACTCTAGGTAGGGAATTTTAATGTTTACACACTGCTTTAGGGTCAGGAACATGACCTGACTGCCATCTCAGAAGGCCATGTGAAATGGCCTCTTTGGTCTCTTAGGGTGTAATTTTGACAGTTATATCATAGATACCCAAGTGTGGGAAAATTGACTTTCTAACTCCTGAAAATGTCAAATAGCATTGGGGTCACCCCCTCTCCCCTTTCCACCCCGGGCCAAACCTTTGTGAGGTACTTTGTGGTACTTCGTCATATTTAGTAACACTAGTGCAGAGGACACACCTTTATTCCCACGTCAGCCTTTATAACACCAGCAACTGCATCCACAATCAGGGCATTAGTGATGACAGTGTCCAGAGCTGTGTCATTGGTGACATTTGCTGCCTGGCCCATGCCTTCCCTCAAAACCTGTAGGGAAGATAAGAAATCAAACTAATGCAGCTGACGAGAATTTGTGACAAGAATGAGTGTGAAATTCTGAGAGAAATATAATGTTCTCACAACATAAAAGGTTTATATGACAAGAAGCAGAAGATCTTACTAATCCTCGGCCAAAATGGTTGTTCACAAAACTTTCTGATACTACAAGAAGGGGTTTCACACACAAATTGATACAAAAAAAACAAATGATTTTACAAGGTAATTTTGATTACAAAATAAGAGCTTACCTTTCCACCTCCAAATTTAAGTTCATCTCCATACACTGTGTAATCTTTTTCCACCTCAACGATGAGACAACTGTCACCAAGACAGACCTGATCAAGAGGAACAATAAAATTCACTTTGGCAAACATGCAACATTAACATCTATAAAATCATTTAAATATCCTAAACCTGTCGTAACTGGCTAGCCATATTTTCCTCCTCAATGAAACATGCAATATTTAATGACTGGTTAATGAAAACTCTGTTTCTCCTCTGATAGCAGCTCTTCAGGCTTGTAATTAATAATGGTAATAGGACTGAGTGGAGTCCACTACTGACAGTCTATACCAAAGGAGTGATCAAAAAATTGGACAATCACAAAGTGGAAGTCAGATTAATTTTGTTAATCAGGAGTATGATTACAAACAGAATTGAAAACAAGAAGTCCTGTTACCAAATTACAAAATTTGAAAAAGAAACTAGACTAAAACAATTAACTCTGTGAAATGCAAGACAACAGCTAGTGCACACACATTTCATGTTCTGTCCACTCACACAGGTATGATGAGTTAACTATCACTCGAACTGTCCTATTACACCATCCAATTACAAGCATGACACTGTCCTATTAGCACTCAGTTGGCAACTAGTATCTGGGAGGCCTGGGTTTGAATCTTATCAAAGCCTACAATTATTGTTTTCAAATTTATTTTTGGCAGTGACTTTGATTGCAGCTCACCTGCAAGCATCATTTCTTTATTTGTAAAATGTTTTGTTAGCAGTTTAAGTCAGACAAACCTTGTCTCCAACAGTTGGGCCATAAATGTCAATGTACAGTGGTCTTGGAATAGTCACTTTACTGACACCAGCATCAAGTTTATCCTATTGTCACATGAAAACAGTTCAAGATAATGTGATATCATTACATAATTAATCATATATGTATTATAATTATTTAGCAAGATTACTGCCTCCTTAACTTTAAAGTTAAACAGCTTGTGGCCAGCAAGTGACAAGTAACTTTTTGTAATCTCTGGGTTTAATCCACGAATGAAAGAATAAAAAGTTAACTTGCATGGAGGTACTGTAGCAAATCATGCTATCTAACTAATGGGTTCTTAGTGTTTTACAGATGTTCCCATCTCCTGAGGTCATGGCACAGTAATCAAATGAATGTTTTTGCAAGTTTTTTTGTTTGGCTTTGGTTCATAAGCCTCTGGCAGCATGTTTTTGACCCTTCACACCCTAAAATCAGTATGCATATTCTCCATACTGTTCTCTATACACGTCCTAAGGTGCTGACAAAGAGAATTTGTTTAACAATCACTAGTTTCTTTGATTTGTAATCATTTCCTCCATTCTCATGACCTCAACACTTGATTCAGGGGTGATATTGTGAGGAGAAATTAGATACCAGTCTCTCTTAGGGATCAACGAGTTACAAGACCTCAGTCAGAGATTTTAACTAACTGGAATTTCCCAACACTGACCTCTTACTAGGTTTATTTCATATCTTGGTCACTTGATCTTTCCCTTCAAACTCAGCGAGTTTTCTAAAGATTGATTGTTCCCAATGATTGAGTACCTCATCAGCTACAAATAGTATGAAATGTTTAAATATTACTAAATATACAAACCTGTGGCTTGTGAGCAAATCCTTTTGAAGCAACCTTCTTCATGACAGTGTCCAAGTTTTCGGGCAAAGCTGGTCCATCTGTCAGTCCATTTCCTCCACGAACCACTCTAGCAAGGGAGATATTTTAAGATCAGTGGCAAACTTAACAACTATTTGAAAAGGTTGGGTAAAAGGGAGAAAAATCATGTAATTTACAAGTAGAAAAGGTTAGTTTTTATCATCTTCTATGTAAGCATAACTAAAGAAAACCCTCAACTCACCTGTTTCCAGCAATGTCAACCAGTTCAACTGTTTTGGTGTCTCCAGGTTCAAATCTAACTGCAGTACCAGCAGCAATGTTCTGTATCATTTAAAAAAGATCACAAATCAATAAGTTCTCGAATGCAAGTAGACCTATAATGCATTTAAATGTGAACTGGCAAAGGGTTGGTAACATCAATTCATAGGTGGATTTGAGGATGTTTAACAACACTCTTACAGTACTTAATTGAACCTTCAGATAAAATAACTAGTTATTTGTTTAAAATAAATGAGAAATTAAACAAAAATTAATATTACCATCAAAATTTAATTTGGTACTTCAAATTTATATTAATTTTGTTACCACCAATTGAGCTTAGGACACTAAATAAAAAAGTCTAACAAAGAGAGTGAAAAGAATTTAAGTTTGAAAATAAATTCCAAATACTGCAAGGCAAATCAGTTGACATTTAACAAAGGCTCAGCTGGAGAGCTGAGTTTAGGATTACTAAGGAACAAATCTAATTGAATACCCAAGATGAAGACAAGGATTTGGACCTGGAATGTTCAGCTTTCAAATCCAGTTCCTAACCACTTCCACACCTAGTGTCCATCTCTAACATATATTCAATTTGTGTTTAATCTCCCTTGTAGTTGTGGCACATTCTCTTCTAAATGAGTTGGGAGAATTCGATATTATATCAAGATAACAACCTCAATCTGATCTTCTCAACACCTCATTTCTGGATAATGCTGTTATATTTTAGGGAGAAGTTACATATTCATCACCTCTAAGCATAAAAGGTTAAGTACAGGTCAATCTTACCAGTCTCATACCATAGGCAGCTGCCCTATCAAATTCTAGTTGCTTGTTGGCCTCAAGGAAATGATAGTGACTTCCAACCTAGGGGTTGAAATGTGACAAAATACCAGGTTGACACAACATGCAGATTCCAAAAATTCATGCTATGAAAAAATACTTAAAATAAGCAAAAAATATTTCACAACAAGTACATTTTAAACACTTCATATTGAGAAGAAAAATCCAATTATGTATTTGCCAATATTTTTTTGAGTCAAAAAAGTTGTCAAAAAAAAAAAACACTCAGGTCCAATAAGAAAGGGGGGAGTCTGGACCTTCTAGACCCTCCCCCCTGGATCTATCACAGACATAATTATAATTATGACCACTAGTTTGTTATTAGTGTTTGGTTGGAGTTTCATGACAAAATTCACTTGAGCTCAGCCAGTTTAAAAAACACATTTTTTATAACATAGCTGTAGCAAATTTGTGTAGTCAAATTAAAATTTGCCACTTTTCTTCACATTCCCATTTTACATGCTGATGAAATACATTTGCACCGCAGCCCAGCAAAGGGAATTTATCACATTACAACATTTCAAATTTTTCTTTGGAAATGCTATAATCTACTGATTCATGCATCAACTGTGTCTCATATAAAGATATGAAGTACTTGCTACACCTCAAGCAAATCATTATACATATTACACAAGAAGCGATTGTAAGTTTTTCATTATTTACCTCTAAATTGACAAGTGAGCAAAATATTGCCAGACATACCTGAATAGGCCGGTCACACAAGCTTGTGACCTTCAGTTTGATTGTCCTTCTCTGAGCATTGAGTAAAATGTCTCCTTTGACCGAGGGAATCATGGCACCAGGTGAATTTCTACCACCCTTGAAAAATAACAACAAGTGGAAATCACATCAGACCGCCAGATTTATCTTGAGGCTTAGATCCCTCTTTGGGTTTTTTTTTTAAATAAAACAAGTCCTATCGCAATGCAAGTACATTAACTAACACTTTAAATCCTAAGAGTGATCAGCATCTAATTTCTCCTTGGAGTAACACTGCTCAATCATTCATCAAGATCATGAGAAAAAAAGAAAATGATTTCCAACTTATTAATGGGAGGTTTTGATTGTTAAACAAATTCTCCTTGTCAGTAACGAAGGAAATGCATCTTTTTTTTTAGAGAAGAGTATGGAGAATATGGATACTGATGTTAGAGTGTAAAGGTCAACCCTTTTACTCCCAAGGATCTGATTGTTAATTCTCCCCTCTGGCTGCTACACATTTCCTTGTGAATTAGTTATGAGAATGTGGTGTTAGATCAAGATGACAACTTCTACCTGATAAGTTTGAGTATTCTCATTACCTTTTTGCTTGATAATGTATGGATATTATAGGGAGAAGTTATGTGTTAATCACTTCTGGGAGTTAAAGGGTTAAGGGACACTGGAAAACTACCAGAGAAACCAGATCAAACACAGCAAGGTAACCAACTATAAACAAGCATCCATCCTGGAGAGAGTAGCAGTACTCATAGGTGCTTCATGCTATGAAGATGCAGACAGCCTTAGGCAGTTTGGGCCACTAGGCTGAAGTGTTAGCTATCAATTACTTTATGTACAATTTTCTAACTTTAAATTAAGAGGATACTTGATAACTGAGCCTTTCAAAAGTTAATTCATAAAATCAGCTGGCAAGTATGCAGTTATTATAAAAAGTTAGTCTTTGAATTTCAAGACATCACTCACCATAGACACAACATTAGCACTTGCAGATGAAAATATCTCCACTGAAGGTACTGGTAGGAAGCTTCCATAGAGAGCAAGATTCAAGTCTCCATTTTCTTGGCATATGGGACTGTGAACTGTGACCTGAGGGTAAAACATTCAAGGATCAATGTCAGCATCTGAGCAACAGAGTACCTACCCCTCCCCTAACCCAACATTAAACCTAACTTGTTATCAGTTGACTGTTTGGTTAGGGGAGGGGTGGGTGCAGAATAATAATGACATTGATCTGAATTTGAATGTTCAGGGAGATGTTACAAAATGATAGCTGACAGAATTGTAAAATGGCAACTTTATACTTTTCTAACACAATGTGTATAATGAAACAATGGTCTATTCCAGGCCAACAATGATTTCAGAAGAACATCTAACATAAAAAGACAACATTTATTTTAATCTATAGTCAGCCACTATTAATATTTTAACCCCTTTACGCCCAAGATCTAATTGTTAATTTTCCCCTCTAGCTGCTACCCATTTCCACATAAATTGGTTACAAAAATTTGGTATAAGATCAAGGTAACAACTTCTACCTGATCAGTTTGAATATCCTCATCACCAGTTTGCTGGATGATGCATGGATATTATAGGGAGAAGTTACATATTAATCGCTCACCAATTTAGTGCCATCAGGAAATGTCCCTTCCACTTGCACTTCTTCAACAAGTTCCCCTACCCCTGGTAATACTTGATTCACACCTAAAAAGGAAAAAACCTTAACCCCTCACACTCTAGCATCAGTATGCTTATTCTCTATACTGTTCGCTATGCGCTTCCTAATGTGCTGACAAGATTCCACCTGAAGTTTCCACCTGTTCATATGTGGCACAAGACAACAACGGCAGTCAGCTCAGTTGCTGGCATTTAGACCAGTTTGTAATCTTTAGGGTAGATGTTAATTCATCAATAAGGGAAAACTGACCTAAAAATTGCTTCCCAATGTTCATCAACTCTGCAACAGTCTTTCCATCACGGATGAATTCATTGAGCTGTAATTTAAAATTTGAACAAAAAAGTAAACAGAGCCGAACAATGTTCACCCCTGCTAAGGACCACCCCTTTAGCTAATTTCCAATATCTCAGCTCATTTGGCAAGGCTTGGAAGTTGTAAGCATTATTCAGAACTTATGGGATTTTTTGGAAATTTGGGTACTTTTGAATGAAACTTAAAATGCATTTCAATGGGGAACAGTGGCAAGATTTCAAAACAGCCCCACATTTTAGTATGCATCCATGCAGTTCTTGCAAAAACTATAAAAATATCTCTCCAGAAAAGTTAACAAGTATACTGGTGTGGATGGAAGACTTTGGTGGTGCTTTTAGAGTAAAGATGTCCTTTTCACACTCTTTGGAAGCAAAGTGTTCGCGTGGTAAGCGGGCTTACTGTGTTTGCGTGAGAAACAATCGAATGTTCGCATCTTTAGTTACAGTTAATTGGAAGGACACACATTATAAGCTCATGTAACAACAGCTAAACTTTTAACACGTATTCCTGTATCATACCAGTATTTCATCTAACACGAAGCTTTGTTTGGGGGTTCTCACCAAAAGTCCGTACATGTTGCATTGCATGGGAACAATGCCACTCAAGCATCACAAATTAATTTACACATGCTTGTAACCACATGGTTTTTCAGTACCTGAGAAGCGATCAGAGCCACAGTTTCGGGTAAATTAAGTTTTAAACCACGTGCAAGTCGTTTCTGAGCCAAAAACCCAGTTTGATGTATCAGAAGACCCTCTAATTCTTTTGGGCTCAACCTCATCTTGCAGTCGACAAACAATTCCAACACGGCCAACAGGACAAGCAACAAGAAATTCCCGGTATACTTTGCGGTCTAGACCGTTACATAGTCGTGAAATACACACATTGAGACGCATAAATTTGGTTTTTTTTTAGTTTTATTAAATCTTCATTGAAATTTTTTTACTCTGAAAATTTTTATCTCCAGATAAGCGGCTGTTTAGAGAAAATTATCTGTGAGATCATAGCAAATATATGCGATGAACGGGCACGATGGATTTCGTGACGAATATCACGAAAAGTGACAGTTAAGCGTGATCCTTCGCAGCCGTTCCCTAGGATGTCACACAATGCTGGAGGGGAGCGTTTCAAAACATAATGTAGAGCGAAGTCGGTTGCCTAGCCTTGGATAAATTAAAAATTAGACCCCTATGTCATATTTCACACAACCTGCACCGAGTCTACGAAGAGTTCCTTGTCATAACAGCATCACAGCCCGTGTTACGTTCTGCCGCAAGATGATACAGAAAGCCTCGAAGAACTGGGGATGGATCCGGCGATGGTTATGGTACTTTCAGTGAAATATGTACTGCCTTTATGTGTTAATAGATTGTTGGTGTACACTTTAATCAGCGAATGCAGAGCTTGCATAACATTCTTCATTTTAAAGGATTCAACTGTTAGGTAATCTTCACTCTCACTGGCTAATTCGGGTCCATGCATTCCCTTCATGACAACGAGGCCATCTTGAAAGATTTGGTCTCTTGACCCGATGTGCCACGCCCTTACTTCCTTCGTTTTAGGTATCAAATATAGGGTTGTGTTCTCTCCCGTCTATTTTTCCAAAGGATTACTCCCAAGCCACTCCCTTGTGTCTTCAATCACGCTTTTGAAAAAGGAGCGAGCCTACAAAAAAAGGTAAAATGACAGTAAAATTTAATTTTGAAATTGACTCAGCATACACAACACTTCCTCGAATTTTTTGTCTAAGAGTGTGAGCATAACACAAGTCACATGAATACCTTACCGGGCAAGATTTCCACACAGCCCCATACTTCATTATGCGTACAGTTCTTGGATAAAAAGAACAATGGCAAAAACAACCTTAGGGACTATTGGCTTCGTTTTAGACTAGTATGTGATTATCCGGAAATCTTTCTCCCCTACGGCCAACACAAGCTCAAAAATTTTTTGTTTAGGTTAATAAAGTAAAAATTTAAAGAGGCAATGCATACCTGTTCTGTGCTCTGTGCCGCAAGTAGCTTTATCACTACTCCATCACATAGTGGTTGGTTAAAAACACTTGCAGAAACAGTGAAACCATCACTAGGATCTAGAGAACACACATCGGAGGGACGATGAAAAAATATTAAATCTAGACAGCTTGAAATCTGATGTGGGGAGTTCCTGTTTGACAGGGTGTTTTCTTCTTCTCCTTTTTCTTCCTTTTTGTTTGGTTTTTTTTCTCTTCATAATTTTTTTTAAGCCAATGCAAGCTATTATGTAGCATACCACAAATTTCTTAGCTCTGAGGTATTGTTATTCTATCTTTAAAATCCATCAGTTATTTTTGCTAACATCCAGTTGGTCTAAGATGATCACATCATTTAATATGCCTTAGCTTAAACTGGAGGATATCACCCAATGACAGGGACCATGCAGAGGGAGGGGCTAGGGGGCTTTAGCCCCCCCCCCCCGCAACCACTCTTTTGCAAAAATAAAAATAAATTAAGCAAAAAATAATTTAACAAAAAGAAAGGAGCCAAAAATAGCCCCCCTACTCAAGAACTTGCTGCACCATCCCTGAGTGAACCTGCAGAGTCTTCAATCAGTTTCAATTTTAAATTATTAAGCATTAATTGGGTCTTAATTACCCAAGAAAACCTGTTTGCTCCACAAAAGAGACAACATCCTCATACAAATGTTCAACCATATTTTTGCTGGCTGTTATTCGTAGATACGCACAGACAGGTATATACAGTGTACCATATACCTGATAAGCTTTTAACTTTCTCTTGAATTTTCCACTTAAGCTCTCTAAACTGAGGTCCAATGAATACACAAGATCCAAGCACCTAAACATGAAAGGAGAGTATTGTCATCAATATATCACAGTAAATTAATTGTTCCTGTTGTTTTCCATTCAAACTTATGCAGTGAGTGTTTTTATATAATGCCAAAAAGTTTCAGCTGAAATTTAGCATGTATGGTTTAGTCTGACACAACCAAAACTTGTTAATTAAAAAAAAAGTGTGATCACACTTTAATTTTTTTGGTGTGTGATTCAAAGATTAGAAGTGTGAAAAAGTGTGATTTAAAGTGTGATCACACCTAGAAAGAAATTTTTGGTGTGATTCACACTTCTAGATCACATTATCAAGCTTCTAATCACACTCTTGAGAAAAAGTCTGATTTAAAATGTGAATCATATTTCCTATAAAGTTGTAGACTAAACCATGCATGCTAAATTTCAACTTTCTTCTGCATGGGTAACAACCCTTTTAAGGAGCCTCTTTTGCAGATTCAGTCATATTGCTTTTAAAAGTTAGGTTGGATTGCCACTGAAAATTTTAGCTATCATTGATCCTTACCTTAGTATATTCTAAAGCTTTTTGCAGAGAACACATGTTATCCTTCACATTTACAAGATCACGATCAAGCCTAATAGCATCTCCATGTACAAGCTTTCCATCCACATAAACCTTGCTTTCACTTGCAAAACTGCAGGAGTAACAAGAATGTAAATGATGAGTGAGGATCATCAGATGAAGGGAAAATATTGTTTCATTTCCATGTTACACTGTGCAACTGTTCAGTAACAGATGTTTCTAAAGAAACTGTGGTGCTGTGTCAGTGGGAGAGTATAATAGGGTAATTTAGGATCATCAACTGAGTTGATAACATAAATTGGCCATGTAAAGAGTTTCAAAGCTGATGTTTCAAGTGTTAACCCTTTATCAGAGAGATAGATTACAGATGACATCAAAATATGATATGAACAAAAAAGTGATTTATAAGGTGCAGCTGACATAGTGACATCAGTGATACAGTGACATCAGTGTCTCAGTAACATCAATGACATAGTGACATCAGTGACACACAGTGACACCAGTGACATCAATGACACAGTGACATCAATGACACAGTGACATTAGTGATCCACAGTGACATAGTGACATCAATGACATGGAGGCATCGGTGACATCAGTGATCCACAGTGACGTCAATGACAGGGTGGCATCAGTGACACACAGTGACATCAATGACACACTTGGCTGCACCTCTCATGCCACTTTTTTGTTCTTATCACATTTTGACATCATCCATGATCTGTTACAGTCTGAACAGACCCATAGCAGGAAATCTAACAGGAAATCTATTTATTAATTAGCCTACAATTCCAAACAATACATACTAACCTGATCATTTCCCAAACTTCTCCCAGAGCAATACGTCCAGCAGTTAGCCAGTCTAGCAAGATAAGGTTCGCATTTGAAGTCAGATGGAAAACCTGTAAAGAGAGATTAACGTAAAAATGTGTATTAAGTATTATAGCTTAAATCCTTAACTGAGCAACCATGTAGAAGTTCTTGTCTTTTTGTTTCATAGAGACCCTACATGTGCTGTGAAAAAAAAAGGACATTAAGTCTGTACTTGAGCCAAGTGACCCATCCAGCCTCAGCTTATCCCAGTTTCCATAGCATGAAGTGACCAGGAGTAAAACTAATCCTCCCTGGATGGGATGCCAGTCCTATGCAAGGTTACCACTCATCATTTCATCAGGCTTCCCTGACAATTTGCCTTACCCCTTTATACTCCTGGGTGGAAGGAGACTCTGTGAGAGTAAGATGTTTGTCCAAGAACACAACACAATGACCCGACCAGGTCTTGAACCCAGACCTTTCAACCCGGAGTCTAGTGCAATAATCATTTGGCCACTGTGTCTCTTAAAGGTGCGATGAGGAGAGGAAATTGTAAGCAATTTAACTCCCACTCCTTTGCTAGACCCCTCTCCATTTATCAGCACAAATTATAGCAAATATTTAAAGACAATAGCGGGATGACTCAGTCACAATAACCTATGTTATAACAACAAATCCTAAGGCATAAATCCAAAGTGAATTATGATGGCTCAATGCTAGCTGATATGCAGCATCATTCACAAATGCAGATGCAGGTGACCATTTTGCAACACATCTACTTTTTACCTGTTCTTGCTGGAACTTGGCATTCTTGTAGCAAATGATAGGATCAGGTAACACTGCTAGGATTGCACCATCAGCCACATGTACTTTGAGATGTTGTTCACCAATGGAATCATCATCTGATGCTAAAATCTAAAGAGAGTGATAAAGTTGATGAAGTTTTTTTAAATTAGCTCAGCTGTACTAATCATTGAATAGAGGGGGTAAGTTTCTAAAGAAACTGAGGTGCTGCATAGGTGATAGAGTATAACAGGGTAATTTAGTATTATCAATTGAGTTCATATGTAACTTGGCCGCTGTAAAGAGTTTCAAAGCTGACGTTTCAAGGGTTAGCCCTTTGTCAGAGAGAATGATGAGGGGCTAATTCTCAAAATGTCAGTTTTGAAACTCCTTACTAATCCTCGGACCAATAGAAGTAGGGGATTCAGTTGTATCATACCCCTTAGCTTCTCTTTCAAGATATTCAAGAAGATTTTACATCAGCACCTTTTGTTTACAATAGCTGTTCTTTTCAAGGGGGAAGGTTATTCAAGGGAAGAGCCAAATGAGGTGAGTTTCTAGGGGGGAATTGGATCCCTTTTTGGCATGTAAGGGAAAGTTTATACTTTAGAAACTTCTAGTAAACAGTTTAAACTGGGAGTAACATTTGATTGAGTAGTCTGATGGTTCAGGTGAGGGTAGTCATGAGAAGGACTGTTGTCTAATTGATGACTGAAGTTTCAACAGCCTGAGCAGAAGAACTATCCCCCTAAATTCTCTCTTGGCCTCATACTAAACCATACCACATCTCCCTTACAGACTTCAATAACTGTTTTAACTTCAATCCAATATCTGAATTAGAGCTCAAAAAAT